TTCTTTAGGAAGAAGCGGCTTGTGATTTCATCGCTTTTGCATTGAAAAATAAATATTTTTGCAGAGATGCTAGGTGGTTGCTCGCCGAAGTTGGAAATACCTACTCTAGTTGTCTTCCTCGTCAACCTGCAATGATGCGATGTGGTACATGTTGGCTCGCCAATAATGAAATATGGTGTCTCCAAGCCTCCAAGAGTAGAGATTTTATTGCTGAGGTTGAAAGAGCACTTCATGTGTATCTCTCGCCAAGCCGCAACAAAGAGACGAGAGGTTCACTAGCAATGCATATTCTTATGGATATAAGGATCGCTGGAACTATCTCAAAATCCTGCAAAAGAAAGTATCTTGAAAGTCCTCGGTGCCAATAGCACAACATTTCAGCAACATGACTCTTCAACTCCACCCATAAATATCGATGCAGACGACATGAAGCTTTTGATTTCACGTGATTGATTGGTGTCGATGATGCAAAGCTCAATTCAGAAGTAAGTATCAATGTTGACAACAAGACGCTTAATTCGACATAAGGCTTACTGCTATCCTTTTGTAGAGTACTATATGCTTCTACATGCGGTTCCTGCTGGTTGGGTTTGTTAACAACAATAGACGCATTCGGTGCACTAATAAAGACTTTCTGCTTTCAGACCAGTGCTTCATGGGCTATAACTGATTTTATTTAGTGGTTCTGCTACTTCATGAATACTTCTCCACAGCCCCACGTTCTAAGAAAATAAAAGAAGAAAAAAGGTTATCATGAGTAACAAAAAAGTTTGATTGAAACTAATCGACATGGAAAGGGAAGTTAAAATTGGGGAGCCTCATTAATCTCTAGCCTTGACTATGAGTTAGGTCGTTGAGTATACGAAATCAGCAATTCCACCAGCCACACACAAGCAAAAAAGATAACAGCACGGAGCTTTCACTCAGCAACAAGAACCAGTGTCAATGACACGATACTTCAATGCAGATGGTGAACATTATGACGTGCACTTCTCCGTCAAATCTCGACGAATCGTACGCTTCATGAACCTCTTACCTACAAAAAGAAGTGGTGATCATCCACTTTTTTGCTTGATGTGGATTGGAGAACTCGCCATGTATATCTTTTCTAAACGTGCAAAGAGAAGGGGAGAAGTATATGCTTCCCGAACAATCCTTCCGATTTTCAGCGCTCGATTCAAAGTTTACAGTGATGAGATTAAAAATGATAGAGCTTTGATCCTTGCACATGTTGTAGAGCTCAGAGTTTCCTTTCCAATGGTGAAAACGGTTCGTGATTTCTCCGATATTAAGATATGAATCTTGTGTCGAGAGTGCTCAAAGTTGTGAGATCAACACGGGCCATACGTGTAGATCAACTTCAAAATTTAATTCCAGCTTATACAAAAGGAGTTTCGTGCTGATTTTTTGATATGTTTCAGTCCTATGCGTCTAGTTATGGTAAAAATAAGTGGCTCATGATTTTAAGTCTCCTACAACAAAATATGAATGCTTTTTTGCAAGGGTATAAAACTGGCTGACTGGTACTGCAATTAAAAAAAGACATGACTGATATTCTCTTTGTTTTAAAGGGAGAAATAAATGAAGAAAGAAGTGAAAGCAGACTACAAGCAGCCGTGTTCAGCGTGAAAGGAATTCTATATTCACGCAACAAAGATCGCTTATATATAATGTTTAAGATGGTGGAACTTTCCTTATAGAAAAAGAATTCTTCTTAAAGTAAAAAAGAAAATTCTTGTTTGACTTGAAAGTTTTGAATGGTAAATATTCATTAGAAAGTAACTTCTGAGAAGTATTTGAATTCAAGTCAAAGTGGAAGAGGGGAAGGCTTCCTGCATGAGCCTCACATGGCTTTGTCATAAGAAATTGATCTATGATGGAACTATCATATATTGTTCAATGTGACATGTTTTGGTTACCATAATTTTGCTATAAAGGTTACTAATAAAGTATTGTTTAAGTACAACATACTTGGTATCAAAAGTTTTTTTTCAATTCGATTTAGGTCAGTTTCGTTTGGTGAACTTTACGTATGGCAAGGGATATGTCATTGAATTTATATCCAACGTAGAAAATGAAAGCATAGTAAGAAGGCCTTGTTTGATGGCTTTGATTACATGCTTCACTAGAGAGTCACGATTGCCCAAAGAATTCAAATTCTTTATTTATGGGCAAGAAAGAAAATATTCTTCACATGGATACTCCGGGCCTTGTCTTCGAGTTTTAACAAGTCTACACTTTGACAAGCCTTGAAATAGGGGGTATATGTAGACATATAAAATTTATTGGGTCTAATCCATACAAAATTTGGATTAAATCTATTTGGGTTAAATAATTAACTTGGACTTTATAAATTAAAATTAGTCCATTTTATTATTTTCAAGCCCAAGTTCCATTCTATCTTAAGGTCCAAACTCATGCCATATGTCAAGTGATATGGCATGTCCAGTCAAACCCAAAGCCAACAAGATGACGCCATGTGTGAACTGATATGGAAATCCTAGTCTAAAACAGTGACCAATCAAGAGTCGCCAAGTATCTAAAATGACATGTTTTGGCCAATCACAAGCAAGCTTATCAGGTAGCTTGTGCGATAAGTTTGATGACTCACATGAGCCAATCAGAATCAAGCAAGAGAGTTTATATGTAGTTGGACTGTCAATCATCTACCATTATAAATAGAGGGGTTACATAACTCTCTAAGGACATTCAGAGTTGGAGAAGAGCATTCTGCAATTGGTGAAGGCATCCAAAAACAGAGAGATCAATCATCAAGTGCAAAGTTTTTCAACAAAGAAGTGATCAACGGAGTTCTTCCCGGAGTTCAACCTAAAAAAACGAAGCGTTGTTCGACGTTCTTGGCGATTGAATACATCACAAGGAGGTCTGCATCATCGTACATTCAAGAAAGACGTTTCTCAAGTCCTCGAATCACGGAGAATCTCAGAGAGGGGAACCAAGGGATACATAGAAGTGTACTCATAAATATTCATCAATAAAATCTTTTTTTATTCATATTATTTTTGTTGCAATTATTTTCTGTACAACGAAAATTTGTTGCGAACAATAACATGTTACAATCGTCTATATATTTTAATATTTGCATAGTTAAAATCGTTTATACTATCAATTGTAAAAGCTTATAAGTAGTTTTTGCTTGATTTGCTCTCTCTTTCCGGCGTAAGCTATTGGCGATGAGTACTTTGATTTCGTAAAAACTTACTACTCCTACTTATTAGCCACTAGTGTATACATCAAATTATGTAAATTTATTAGTTAGGTGAAAAAAATTAGCTAGGCGAGAATATATAAAAATTAACTATAGTTAAGTGAAAATCTTATATGCAAATGCATATTATGTATTTATTAATTTGATGTAAGTATCATTTTGTAGATAGATTTTTACGATCTAAGAAGATTAATCTCTACGCTTAACTGCATGGTATCTTTAATTAGTCATAATGGTCATCAGATGAATATCTTTTTATATTCTTTTCAGGAAACTAGATAGAGTTCAATGTTCTCAATTAAAATGTCACGAAGTTTCCATATTCAATAAGTTTTAACTGTGTGAAATTTTTCTCACTTGCATCTGGAAGTACACCCATTGAATTTCATCTACTACTTCTCACCTTGATATTTGGCTTTGCTTTTGAAGAGAAAGTTTACATTCAAAAGTTAAAAGATTTTGATGATGTAAATATTTCACTTTAGAAATAGTTCAGTTCATTAAAGTTTTACAACATGCCGAAGCCGAACAAAAATAAGATTAAAATATCTGATAATTAGAAAGTCATATTCGTAAAAGGTAAATAAAGCTAAAACCACTTTACGTGTTTAAGAATAAAAACGAACTGGATTGGTAATAGTATATCCTAACATAACAGAAACTAATTTTCACCTACAAATACAATGCACAAAGTCATAATTCCACTTCCAACTTGGACTACTAGAAGAGAAGATTGAAAAGAAAGCTTCTAGATGTAATTTTCATTATAGTATTCTCCTTAGCTAGTGGTATTTAGCGTCTTTAATTTCCAGTGAATGTTTTTCGCCAGAAAAAAACTAAAAGATCATATAGAAGAGTCATAAGGATCTAGGCTGTAACACATATTAGCGCAAAAGTTATAAAAGGAAAAAAAAAACAGAGGAGAACGCAAAAAATATAGTGCAGGAGTTATAAGCAATTCTTCTTAAAATCTGAATAGATAACCTTTAATAGAGTAATTACAAATGAATTTAACTGTATAGTGGACAATATAATTATCTTTTACAAGTTATTTACTTTATTTTTTAGGTTACCTACTCATCAGTGCCGACCCAAGGCCCCCTATTTTTTGGGGTCACAAATTTTCCTAATAAGTGCATATGTTATTCGAAAAAAATATTTAGTGTTTTAAATGATGAAGTATAATTTTTCATAGTAAAAAAAGAAGAAGAAAGGTTAAAGCGTTGAGCATAAATTGAGAAAAGAAATAGTCTTTTGGGGAATCACTCTCTAGAGTATAAATCGAGAAAGAATATGATTATTCATAACTCAAAAAAAGATTGAAACTTTAATATAATTCCAAAAAGAACTCTTGATAAATATTTAACAAACAATAAATTAATATCTTAAATTAGAAAGTATGTCTATTAAATGGATTAGATATATTAGAAATTAAAAAAGAAATTATTAGAAGAAATCGATTACAACAAATTGTTAATAACTTTGCATATAAAAAAATTAGAAAAATGAACTTCAAATGAAATTATATACGTATGATTTTTATTTTTATTTTTTTCTAACAAAAAGCTTACGGCCTCTCGTTGAAGTTTTGTTTTGGGCCACTATGTTTATTGAACCACCCCTGCTACTCATGCTTGACTTAGACAACTTTTTAAAAGTGAGTTTTGAATGACCTAATCCATAGTTGTGTTATCTTCAACAATGTTTATAACTTAAATCTGAACTATGCAGAAGTCTTGCAACAAAATCCAAGTTAGAACAGAAAAAGAGAAAAAGAAAAGCCTCAACTCTTACATGTATAGTAGTAAATCAGAACGTTTAAGCTCCCGCTGATCATATATAACTGAAGTTTGTTACATTCATATGCTTTGAAATTCGCCATCAATCTGATAACTTATGTATGTTCAGGAGGGCCAGTTTCTATACCAACCAGCCCATGCAGAAACTAAGCCACTAATGCCTAAAGTAACAGTATGGTTGCATAATGGATTTGGTTCAATTTCAGCCAAAGCAATTATAAGGTCAGCTATATTAGCTGCCACAGCCATCAGTCTCATAATTCTATCCATTCTAATTTTCTTGATTTCGCCTTCTGTTTCCTTAGACTCCTCCTCTTCAGTCAAAAGCTTCCTTTCTGCTTTTAGGCCCCTTGAAATGAGAATAAAATCCGAGATAATGAAAAACACGTATCCAACAGACTCACCAAATGCAGAAATGAAGCTCATCCTTTTTGCATATTTAGAATCCATAACTCCGATTCGCGACAGCCAGAGAAAATGGTCAAAGAAGAAATAGACCATCTCTCCTGAATTGGCAAGAACTGCTAGCAGCCTGAAACCTGAGGACGTGCCGGGGCTCCTTCGGAGGGCATTGAATCCAGTGAGGAATCGACCACTTCGGAAGGCTTTTCGACTGAGGCCAGAAGCAACTTCCCATTGCTTAGCTCTAGTGGCAAATTCAGGGTAAGTTTTCTCGACGTGCCAATTTACGAGCTTGGATACGTATTGGAATGTCTTGACAAGTTTGTCAATTCCATCTCTCTTTGCCAAGAAAATTACTAGCTTGTCAACTGTGTCATTCATTGCTAGCTAGAGGTAAGAGGAGCTGAAGTTTTTTTTTTTGGTTGCTTTGCTTGGACATAGAGTTGAGTGGGCTATCTTTGATAGAAGAGAGTTGCTATTATTGTTAGCATTAGAGCATTAAAGGATGGCCACAAATTGAAGTTCTTGGATAAATCAAGGAATTTTTGTTTGGACATTATTGTTTTGCGTTCTAGTGTTACTTCCTTGCAAGCCATAATTTTTATTTTTATTTTTATATCCTTTTGGGGTTATAATAAAAAAGAAAATTTGATTTTCAATCAATGGCCTAAAAGACTACAAGAGGGACTCTCACTACCACCAATGGGTTCTTTTTTGGTCTTATGAGTGTTCGATTAGCAATTTTGGACCAATTATTTTAGTATTTTGTTGTATCCCATTTCGTCTTCAGCTTCAATTAGTTCCCACCGTTATATGAACTTAACCATTGGGATTACACTTTAATTCTACACTATAGCTTTGTTTATGTCATTAGTTGTATAGGAAACAACACAACATAATCTATCAAGGGTGTGCTAATTTCCTTCAACCTCTTCATTTATTGCAAACAATCCTTTCATTATATCCCTGTGTCACCTTCCTATAAAAGAGCAACATATTATATAGAGAAATAAAACCCAAATTTTAACTCAAATAAGTTACTAGTATATGTCAACGGAGCATTGAACACTTCTATGGAATTGGTGTACAGTTTTAAAGTGAGATAGACTTGAAGTATTTAAAAAGTTATGCAACCAGAGTTATTATAAGATTTAAACAAACCAGATCTAAACTTTATAAAAAATTATTCCAAAAAAACATACATGATATGTTTTTGTTGATTGGAGCTACTAATATTAATATTTCAAGTTAAACTAACTTAACACACCCAGATAATGCTGGCAACTTTTTGGCGCAAGATATCGATTTGCACAAAAGTACAGGTCAACACCCTACATTGTACTTACGTCACCATGTTTTTAAGTTTATAATCGCATAACCCATTATTTTCTGCAAATGTTTATATACCCGGTATATAATATTATACAGTTATTATATATTGTATAATATTTTGCATAAAAACTGAGTTTTGTCTCATATAAACTCAAACTCACGAAAAATGCAAATATCTCAAATCTTCATCAAATATCTTTAAATTTTAATCACAACTTCAAAATGTCATCCCCAATAAAACTCAATCATCAATTTATCAAAAATTATAGTAACAAATATTTTTTTGATAATCGTAGTATCCGGGCCAACTTATGCACATCTCGACTAATTTCACGAAATACCTGCTACCTCCCACCAGCAACAGGTACCAGATAACTATGTCCACCAATGCTCGGACAAATGAAAAAATATCACCTACTAATATTTTTACCTCCGAGATTTGAACATGAGATCTCATAGTTCTTAATCCACTTCATTGACTGCTAGACCATGCCCTTGGATGCAAAAAGCTGAACTAATCACAAAATTCATTTATGAGTTTTCAAGCTTTTAAAAGTTCCAAACTTTAGTTCATACAATAAAGTTTAAATCTGTGATGATAAACACGAGTCACTCTCGAATTAGTTTCTAATACAAATTTTCTTACTACCCTATTAATAGGAAAAAGGAAATTTTAAATTATATACAAAATAAGCTAAGTAGATACGAAAAGAAAGAATATGGACTTAAATTGGTTAGGGTAGGGGGTACACTACTTCCCCAATAATTGTTTCATTATATAGCCGAAGGAAGGAATTCTACGATGATTGGATTAGGATTAGAACTTAAGGGGGTTCATGAGGCAATTGCTATAATCTGGTTGGGATTGGGAAGCCTCTTCAATCTAAATTGTTAATTCTAATCTGAAATTTTTTAAACTTTCTATTTATTCTTTTTCTTTGGTTGGATCGAATTTGAAGAGCCGAACTGAGATTTCCAAAATAACTTGGAGTAGTAATAGTGTGTACGGATAAAATCGGAAACAATGTTACCCCCGATATTCCTGTAAAGAAATGAGAGGGAAGCATAATCTGATGCAATCTTGAGTAAAGCTGAAAGGTTCCTCGTTTCGGAGCCCGAGAAGGACGAACAGTGCATCCGGGATCGGACACGGCCGAACATCGGGTCTAGGTTGAGTGAAGGCTTGAGACTAAGAAAAAAGAGAAACGGTTAAGTACGATAAGTGGGGAGCCGTAATATCCGCTCTCAATCTGATATTACGGCACAAATTCCGTCCGCTATCAATTGCAGATCAACATTTATTGAAAAAAAAAGATTTTTATTTTATTTAGACTTGTACTAGGATTGAAACTCCCCTACTATATAAAGGTGAGAACTTTTTCATTTTAAACCACTGTTGTCACGCATATCAAAGCAATAAAAGTTTATTTTCGTTCTCTAGCCATTGTTCATTGTGTTCTTTAGCTACTTAATTATTCGATTGCGACCAAGCTAGTCGCGAGAGCTCGACCAAGGTCAATTTTCAGTGTTCATCTAAGAAGCCAGGCTTAATTGTTCTTCATGTTTAGTTTGATTATATTACTTATCTGTACTTTGATTAATTTCTGTCAATAGATCATTCGTGTTAAATTAAATCGCGTATTCTTTAACTGCATACAAAATTAATTGTTACTCATTTAAAGGGTAAACAGTTTGGCGCCCACCGTATGGCTAAGAATAATAGTGGTTATTTAATACAAATCTCTGTAACACACCCTACTTTACACTTGCTCTTTGAAGTTTGATTTCGCTTTAATCTAAGAATGTCAAATTCTGAGTCTGCTCACTTGAATATTGACGCCGAATCAGGCCACCATGGTGAAAACAATAACGTGGTACCCAGCAATGACATACCCCCTATTGATCCCAATGGTTTCCCAATCGTTGACCCAGTCGATGTTAACTCACAGGTTGCCATCAACAACAACTTGCCAACTGACCCCGAAAATAGCATTTGCGGGGCACCCTGACCATAGGCTCGAGAAGCATATGAGGAGGAAGGTGATGGAGTTAGCTTGCAATTGATCTTCGAAATGTTACAAGCTCATCAAGCAGCAATAGCGCAATTACAAACCCAAAGTCATGCCCTAACAGGATCGAGCCCGAGCGGGCCAGAGAAAACGCTCGAAGGGATGAACAAATTGTTGTGGAACCAGATGAATTCGGGCCCGGGGAAACTTTTAAAGTGATGAAAATGCTCGAAGCACTAACAAAACGGGTGGAGTCTGGTGAGAAAAAGATAGAGGCAAATGACAAAAAGGTAGAAACTTACAATTCGAGGGTCGATCAGATCCCGGGAGCGCCTCCAATATTTAAAAGGTCGGATTCTAAGAAATTCATTCAGAAGCCTTTCCCCCCGAGTGCGGAACCGAAGCCAATTCCGAAGAGATTCTGAATATCTGACATTCCCAAGTATAACGAGCATGTAACCTTCTATAAGTGCGTAATCAAAGGCAATGATCTAGAAGACGACGAGATCAAATCGATGTTATTGAAGAAATTTGGGGAAAATTTGTCCAAAGGAGCGATGATATGGTACCATAACTTGCCTCTGAATTCTATTGATTCATTTGTTATGCTTGCAGATGCTTTCGTAAAAGCCCATGTCGGTGCCATTAAGGTCGAGACGATGAAATAGGACCTTTTCAAGGTCAAACAAAGAGATAACGAGATGTTTAGGGAATTCGTATCGAGGTTCCAGATAGAGCGGATGGACCTGCCCCTGGTCATGGATGATTGGGCAGTCCAGACGTTCACTCAAGGACTCAACCCACAAAGTTCCGTTGCTTCTCAATAATTAAAGCAAAACTTGGTGGAGTACCCCGCGGCTACTTGGGCCTATGTCCATAACAGGTATCAGTCGAAGATTAGAGTCGAGGACGACCATCCCAACAAATTGAATGACATGTCTAAAAGGATTATGGACCAGGAGCCAAGGCCGGTCCGAGATCAGTATCAGCCATATGGCTCGGACAGATGGGGAAAGGGATTCGGGCCCCACCCAACTAGGAACGACATGAGAAATTATCAAAGACCAAGCAATCAAGTTTGATGAGTAAGAGCAGTTTTTACAGATCGCTTGGCGGTAGTGAAGCACCAAGATTTTCAGAGTATAATTTCAACGTGGATGTTGCGAGTATAATGTGGGCCATTGGTCGCATTAAAGAGACCATGTGACTTAGGCCACTTCAGTCTGATCCCCCATAGAAGGATCACAACCTTGTGTGTAAGTACCATAGTACTCATGGTCACAGGACCGAAGATTGTCGACAGCTAAGGAAGAAGTGGCTCAACTATTCAACAATAGACATCTTCGAGGAATTCCTAAGCGAACGGGCAAAAAATCATTTCAAAAATAGGGACGCCAACAAATAGATTGAACAAGAAGAGCCCCAACACATGATCAACATGATCATTGGGGGAGTGGATTTCCCCTAACGGCCAATGATAAAATGCACCAAAGTTTCTATTACAAGGGAAAAAGGCACTCAAGATTATGTTCGGAAGGAGCCATCTCGTTCAGCGACGATGATACCGAGGGCATCACCTACCTCACAACGATGCACTAGTAATATTCATATTTATCAATAAATCTAGAGTTAAACATGTGTTAATTTATCCAGGTAGCTCGGATAACACCATCCGATGGAGGATCGTAGAACAACTAGGATTATTGGTGAAAATCGTACTGGCGGTCTGAGGGTTGAACAAATTCAACATGGCATGCGAGACGACAATAGGTGAAATAACCCTATTAGTGAACACTGTCAGGACCACCCATGAAACAAAGTTCTACGTGATCGAGGGGGATATGAGGTACAACGCCTTGTTCGGAAGGCCATGGGTTCACAACATGAGAGAGGTGCCTTCAACCTTACATCGAGCATTGAAATTTCCCACTCCGGGAGGAATCAAAATATTCTACGGGGAACAGCCGGCTGCAAAGGAGATGTTTCTGTCGATGAAGTCATCCTGGTGCCCGCGGTTTTGACATTAAAAAATAGGGGACTGGTCGAAGAAAAGAAAACCAAATAGAAATTAACAATACCGATCTCGACCGAGTCGAGAAAATAAGAGAAGCACACAACAAACGAGGATGAGGATT